ATTGGGTCTTTGAATTTGGGGGTCTGATTTTTTTCAATTCTTCATATATTCTAGACAGTAGACCTTTGTCTGAGGTACAGCTGCTAAACATTTTTCCCACATTGTAGGTTGTCTCTTAGCTCTGTGGGTGGTTTCTCTTGCAGTGCAGAAGCTTTTTAATAAGATGAGATCCCAGCTGTCGATTCTTTGTGTTAGATGAACTTAATTCTTTCCACGATTCTGGTTGCAACTGGAGTAGCCAGTGAGCCAGAGAATAGTGACCGCAGGTAAGGCAAGGTTACACTGACTGTGTTGGCATTTTTGATCTCTCATTTTCAAGGCTGATTACTTAGGTCTTGTTTTCAGGGAAACATACCATCAGAAATTTCTGCAAAACTCAGTACAAGTTTTTAATGTATAGCACAGATCCTACCTTTGTGGGATATCTAGTATCCTTGGCTCTTGTCCAACAATCATCTTGATCCCCAGGTCACTGTGACAACAAAAATTGCCCCAGAAATTTCCCTGGAAGGGAATCCGCTAGGAGGCAGTGCTGTCCCGGTGAGACTGTGCTCCGCACAGGCTTAGAGCCCATCCTCCACTTCGGCCCCACACGGCTTTGGGAAATGAGCCAACTGTGTCTGTGTCTGGAATACTGGACATGAGCATTCACTTCCGTCTCTTCTGAGCTTTCCTCCAAACACTGCTGTGCTCCGACTAGCTACCAAGAACCTTCTGTTAATGGTCTTAAATTTTGCAAGCCAACTGAAGTCATGTTGGTAGATTAAATCAACCATGGTGAGACTATCTATGTGTCAGAAATTGGCAAACCCAACCTTTCAGGGATTATTCTGTAAGAGGTGGGGACAATATGTAAATATTTAATGTTACACCCTTGATTTTTTATGATGGACCTTTGGTAACTTCCTCTTAGTCTCTGTTTTGTATACTCATGTTCCCTTCACGGCCCCACATATATCATTCTCTGTTGGCTGATAACATTGAGTGATATTACTCATGTACACTCTGCCTTACTTTCTCAGTATGTTTTGACAGAAGGCATCCGACACCTACTGGACCTTCGAGACTGAAGATCGATCGTACCACCAATAGCAAGGTACCCAAAGTACCTGTCCCTCGTTTTCTTTTTAAGGCACTGATTGCAATCTGCTTGTAACAACACACACACACATGCACATATGTGCACACACACACACACACAGTGCTCCAGTCATATGCAAAAAAGAGAGGCTTTTGTTGTTTTTAATCTGCATGTAGTGAATGAGGAGGAATTTTGTTCAAAGCAGAACTTTAAAAATGAAAGATGGAAAATGAGATAGAGAAGCTGGAAGAATTTCTCCCACTCTGTCAACACCGGTCAGGGTTTAAGCCCCAGTGTTGGGGAGGGACAGGAGCTCGGCCACCTGGTGATGGAGCAGACAGCTCCCAAGACTGAAGCTAACTATGGCTCTGAAAGCAGAAGGAAGCAACTTCTGTGCAGAAATCAGCACCCAGGGAATGGAAGCCTTGGACGCACCCTGCCTTGAACTTCGGAACATCAGTGATGGAGACTGCCAGAAGGGCCCTCCCAAGGGTGGGGCAGGCAAAATAGAACTAGAAATAGAGCAGGAAAGGAAGTAGATCGACAGGGTGGCACCCATGGGGGCTGCACCCACCCGGCTGCCTGTGGGCATCTGTCCAAAGTGCTTTCTGAGACTTCCAGAAATCGCCAAACGTTACTGTAAGTGACAACTGAAGCTGGTGAGGGAGCCTGTTAACTCCTTAGCCACATGGGCCACCATTCCCTGGGACTTCTTTGATATGGAGCTCTAAGTTGGAGTCAAACTAGCATTCCTGAACTTTAATGCACACTGTTGTCTGTTGGAGAATGTAAATTAAAATGCAGATTTTCCCAAGCCCCCACCCCAAGTTTATCATGCTTAGGGCTGGAGGAAGTCTAGGAAGCATTTTAACAATCACCCTTTAAGGCAGATATTTTCAAACACCCACTGCTTTTATTTCTGAGGAAAAAAAATTATATTTATGATGAAATTCACCCACACATGATCTAATCACACTCACACATTAATTCTGGGGCAGGAGAGCACCAAAACTTATGCATTTTCTAGTTACTCTTTTCAAATTGTTCTTAAGAATCTACTGGAAGAATATCCTTTAGTATTAATTAATTAGATCTTCAGAGTTTAAAATCTTGCAAAGAGAAATATCACACCATAGAAGCAAGAACCAGCACACATTCAATTAATAGCACAATACAAATTGTCTGCATTTCTAGTCGGCAAACCAACAAATCCACGACAGCCAGACTGGCTAACACTGAATGGGCCAACCCAAGTCCTTCACAGGACGGAAGGGCGCGGAGATTCAGGCTGGGTGAGATGCGATGTGCATGATAGAAACGTCTGCTCCTGTTCTGCATTCCTTTCTCTTCACCAAACCCCACAAACGAGACCTTCACATTCTGTCTGGATGACAGCGGCATAATCCAATGAAAAATGTCCAACAATGTTTTATTTCTTTTTAACCTAGAGCAAAACAACAGTTTATTTATCTAGTCATTCATTCATTTCCTGAATAGATTGGTTTCTGGCATTGTTTCCAAACAATAGTGGCAGATTTGGGGGAACAAAGCTTCACTTCCATTATTGAACTTGCAGTGGGAAACATAATATACCAGTGCCACAGAAAACCGAATTGGTCTTGTGCCAAAAGAAGTGACATAAAAATTCCCAGTGTCACATTTCTGAAGTCTTAGTTCTCATTTCAGCTTTTAATCTCTGCACACTGTTATTGCCAAGAACAGCAGTATTCCTTTTTCCAGCATCACTTACCTGAGGCAGCTGGGTATTTTGTTTAAGTGTACAGATGAGCCACTTCCCTGATCAAAAGGATGGCTCGGCGAAGGAAGGTGTGCTACGGGATTCAGCAGCTTGGACAAGTGGCAGATCTTCATCCCAATTCACCAGGCCACCGTGGTGACAGTGATTTGTGTCACTTGTAGTGACGATTTCAATATTCATACGACACAGCCTTGAATTTAGCTGCCCAGATCGTGTTCACCAGAAGTTATGTGCCCACCTAAAAAGTGTTAAGAATGCAAAGGAGACACTTAACAGTTGAAATGTGAATATGGAAGACAGTTGTAACAGACGAAAACACTCTTATTATTATTTACAAGCTTCTTGAATAGTATTGCAGATCATTCATTTAGCTTTAAAGACATTACCGACAAATGGCCATTGGAGTTAAAATTAGAAATTGTACACAGTTTATTAATAGGCGATCACTGGTGCCCAAAAGCCTGACTGTGTGGGAAGGAAGGTATGTTTCAGGCGGTGAGAACAAGGACATGTGTTGTCCAGCCAACCTGGTGATAACCAGAGGCTACTGCCATGGGAAACCAGGCGCTGCCTGCCTGTGGGGCCTGGGAAGGTTGGTGGGCCAGGAACAGCCACCTGAAATCACCTACATCTTCAGGATGTTTTGGCTTCCACAACAGCCATCACTGATTTGCCAAATCCAACTGATTTGCCAAATGTGATCTTAATTTAATACCATGCTTTCCACGCAATAAAGGTTATATTAGCTAATGATACAAACAATAATATGATACCCTTCTAGGAAAAGCTTTTCTCTATACCAAAAAGTAACAGAATTAAGTACTCATGGATGACGCCTCTAATTCTGTGTTTCAGATGAAGGAAATCAGTTCGTCAAAGGATAACGCACACAGGCACTAACTGGAGCATATTCCAACACTAACGATTTTTCTTTACAAAACCCCTTGTAATTAATAGAAACACTCTCCTAAGATGAGAGAGGGCTTTTTATTGATATATCTCATACAGCATTGCTAGTATGACCATATCCTGTGGCCTGGAAAAAGCTGTAGAAACAGTACAAAAGCAAAAGAAAAAGTAACAAATTAAGAAGATAGCCTGCCAGGCTTCATATTAACAAAAATTGTGGGGTTTTCCTCCCAGAGTGCAGTGGGACCACTGGTACTTTCCTTGGGTTGGGACAGAAGAGCATTTTCTCAGAGATATTCTACAACAGCAACGTGCTCAAAATTAACTTGACTGTAGTGCAGGACATCTTTCTGTCTAGACATCAATTATTTATTATTTTGCTGAGCATTTCGTAGCTGGGCTTTGCTTTGCTTATGACAGAATTAAGCTGTAAGAGACCGTAATGGTGCTCTGAAGAGATGCAGAGCTGATGCACTCGTGGACCCCTCCTTGAGAGCATCCCTGACCACCACCAGAGACAGGGATGCGGCCAGCACAGACAGCTGGAGGAGCGGAAACAGTGTTCCTGGCAGCTGGTAACAGCCCCCTGGCCCCAGGGACCAGGGCGTTTGAGTCTGAGACAGGAGGATGTGGGCAGGCAAGGAGGCGTGAACAGGACTTCCAGGGAAAAGGACATAGACGGGCCAGCGAGGCAGTTCCACCAGGCTGGGAGAGGGTGACAGGTGGCAGTGGGGAGCAGGGGTTCTGAGAAACCAGTGGCAGATGCAGACGCCAGAGATCTGCACAGCCGCATTTTGAAGTTTGCAAAACACAAACAGCTATGGCCCATGGTGAATTTTATCCAGGAAATGGAGAGAGCAAAACCTGTTTCCAGGGACGGAGCGGAAGTCCGTCTGAGAGTGAGGGTGCCAGGTGTGGTGGGAGGGCACCATACTGGGCCACCAGGGACATGAGCATCAAGGACACTCAGAGTGCAGTGACATCAGGGTGTCTGTTGAAAGACACGGTGAGAAAAGGAGAAGGAGAAGGAAAAAGGGAAGGAGGGAGGGAGAGGACTTCAATGTCTGGGTTTTCGAACTGGCCCCATGCCAAAATACCTGCTTCCAACGTGTCTTTTCATCATGCCATCAGCATAGAGATGGCTGAATTAAATTAGCGTGTCACGTTTTACAAAATAAACCCTGTCCAACAGTAGAGGAGAGACTGGACTAAAGATTCTCACAGTGGCTCCAAAGGAAAAGTAAGTGTGGTAACGAAGACAGTGCAGGTTGCTGACACACTTTGGAGGTGGCATTAATGGATGTGGTGAGTGGTAGGAAATGAGGAGCCCAAGGTTCAAGTCTGGGTGACCAGGTACACGGCTGCATCCACAGGTACTTATTATGTGGTGGAAATTCAATTCCAACCAGCCCACTCTCCCAAAAGGAAATCTCATATAGATGACATGGGCACAAAGATATTAGCACACTTCCAAGGCAACACTACATTTCCCTACAGACCAGAGCTTGGTCCCCTAACTCATGCTGTCCCCTCCTACATTACATTAAGGACCAGGTTGTCCCCTGTTCTGTGAGTGAAGACTCAAGTCTTTGACCGGATGTCTGGAATGTACCTATTCCCCCATCTCATTTTTTGAACTCCAACATCACTGATTAATCTTAGCTATTTTGTAAAGTTTGGTGATCCTTCTGCCATGAACTCAAGCAAAAAAAAAAAAAAAATGTCAGCTTCTTACTTGTGAACATCATCTAATGCTTTCTGTTTCTGATCACATTCTCAGATAATTCTCCCCTGGCCTTTGCCAGATTCCGCTGTGATAGATCTTCACACAACTGCATTCATTTCCTTGAAAGCAACGTAAGCATTTTGTAACTATCCATACAACAGTGATGTTCTGTGGTATTGGACGCTATACCTCCCAAGAATGGGTTTCCTTTGTATCCCTTACACCTACCACAGATAGCATAGTTGTTCAATAAACTTTTTGAGTAAATAGTGGAAGAAAAAATGAACATCAAGGATGATGTGTCTCCTATTACCACGGGCTGGGCTGGGCTTTGCATTTAGGAAAGCCTCTTGGCCTGCCCCACTTCCTCCACCAGTAATAGACTGAGCTCTTTCTTGCCCCAAGGAGGCCTGGCTGTGTGACAAGACACACTTGGGGGGCTGTCACTGGCTGCTGTCTTTGCTCTCCAGAAGGCGCCACGCCAGCTTCAGGATGCCAGCTCTGATTAAATTCTTTTGACTCTGGGCTTTCCTCTGACAGGGATGGGGAGAAAGGGGGTGTTGGATCATCCTACCAGGGTAGAAAGTGAAAATACAGTTTTCATTTATTAGAGACCATGTCTACCAAACAGCACTTCGGAACTATGATTCTGTCTCATTACCACATAACAACGTGGTTTACAAGGAATCCATCGCTCTATCCTACTTCAATTGGCTCCTACCATGACCACACAGCTTTCCAAACTCCAACATTCTGGTTCCAAAATCCACTTGGAACTTCATCCTGGCTCCCCCTCCCACGGCCTCAACCCTCAGCTTGAGAATTAAGCCAAGAAACACATGGAAATACAATGTTCCAATCCATCTAATTAATGCATTAAGTTCCTCATTTGCATAGTACAAATTTCCCTTTATGCTCTCGGTTGCTTGGCAATTGCTTGCCTCAAGGAAATATATTAGCAGTTAAACTGCAGCTTCACAATAACAGAAATTGTAACAAAGACATCAGCCATATTTCAAAACCCGTGTTCCAGAACGGGGAACGAAGGTCCGTGGTTGGAGGGGTCCTCCTACCTCAGAGTAACTGCAGCCCTCGATTTTGGAAAATGGCACGATCACGGAGAGGAAATAACACAGACTGCTCTGCAGTCCGGAGGGACATGGGTGAAAGCCGCGGAGCAGAGTCAACCTTGACACCCACGCGTCTCCTTGGGGACAGCGAGCAGGGAGCAGCGGGCAGAGGGCGACCAACCGCCCTCCTCATGAGAAGCGAAGCGGCTCTCATCAAACCTGCGCCTCACAAAATGCTACCAAGCCCTCCTGAACCACGGGGGGCAAACGGAGAGGCAACTTTGATCCTAAATTAACCCCACCTTCGGCCAACACGCCACTTGCTTCCCAGCTCACAGGAGGGCGTGGCTGGGAGAGCAGAGCTGCGCATGCGCCCAGAGCTCTGGCGGCCTTGTCCCCGGAAGTGCAAGTGCTGAGAGCCCCGGAAGTGCGGAGAGCACCGGAAGTCAAGGCAGAAGGGGAAATGTCGCTTCTGAAGATCGAATTCAGCATGAAAATAGTAACTGCAAAACAGCTCAGTCGTACCATTGCCCATGGTGAACCGAATGGCACCTCAGCTCAGCTCGTAGACACCTAGAACGTCTCAGAATGCCGGCTTGGAACGTCTGGCCTGGTGTTGGAAAGTTACCTTGATGGATAGCTCACGTGCGCTCGCATGTTATCCTAATTTAAAAATACATTTCAACCGCATCACTGTCTCTCAGGGAAATTATGCATATCTGCCACTTTTATATAACGTGAAAATACACAGAAAACATTTTATATACATAAAAACAATAAAGCATATTATGTATTTCTGCCAGCTCCTCACGAGGAATGTGAACACTACATACTACAAACGTGTACCGATAACAATAAAAAATTTTTAAAGGCAAAAGAAATTTCTTTTTCTGCTTATCAAAATCCTGGGAAGTAGGAATTCTTACCATCTTCCCTTTTAAGATAAATCATTCAGTTTCTATGTAGTGCAACTATTGTTTGTCCAGTATAGCAAAACAAGAAATTTGCAGAGTGGTCACAGTGCAGATTCTGTGATTCCGAATCCAAGCTCCAGAGGAGGAATAAATTAACACGTTGCATCCCATCATACTAAATGTGAGATGGTTATACTGCCAGTACAGGTCTCCCAGCTATGAGAGGCTTTGAGAATCAGTATAAAATGACATAATTTTCTATCATGGAAACTAAATTAGAATGGGCATTTTCTCAGAATGTTGCTTTTCAGTGCATGCTTGGGGCTGCTGTGTGGGACCGCTTCCAACTGATAATACAGGTTTCTGCACAAGAGAAAGGTTGACAGGGTATGGTTTAAATTTCCCAGCCCCTCATTCCGGAGTCATCTCCCGCCTGCTTATCTGCTTCTCCACGTCTCAGTAGTCACCAAACATGCCTAAGGAGGTCTCTTGTTGCTCCTGGTTTCCGCCACTACCACAGACTTTGGAATCTTGTTTGTTGACTTTCTTCTGCAGCAGGAGAAATGGTTGCTAAAGGAGCATCCGTCCTGACTTTCAGTCTCATTCAAGGCTCTGACCCTGTCATTCCCTGATCAAAATCCTTCTCAGACCCAGGGAATCGCTCAGCCGGTCACAGGACCTCGGGGCTGTGTGGCCTCAGCCCTCCTCCCCCTTCTATTACCCTCCCTAGAAAAGGCTTCGGGTTCCCCCAGGCTAAACGCCCTCCTGCCTGCCTGGCCTCACCTATTGTTTATCCTCCTTTTTTTGACAGGCCTGATCTCCCTCTCACTCCAGCTTCTCTGTGAGGACCAAGAGCAGAGCCACTTCTCCTCAGTCTGTCCCTGCATCACCAGTGCTACACTTGGAGCTCGGCCTGCTATGCAGCTCCTAAAGCTTTGTACAGCACTGCATGCGGCCCAGCTCAGGAGCGGGACAGAGGGGTCACTTGTGGGTGTTTTTAACCCCAGCAAGGCGGATGCAGTGTTATAGCCCCAGCCCTGTGTGTGAACCCAGTGGTGTCCTGGGAAACCATTAACAACCAGCTCTTCTAGGGTAAAAACCCCTGATTTGCAGCATTTATCAATTTCTATGGCATAGATTCTCTGTCTACCATGGCTGATTGTGAGCAGTGATTCCAACCCAATATTGCCAAATGCACAGTTAGAGATGTGTGGGCAGGAACACACCCATGGCATAGGATATTTTCATCAAACAGATAAAATGCACACATGTTCAAAAGCATAGATAATAATAACACTGCACAACCCTGAAGAACCAAAGAAGAATTTTGATCATTTCTAAATCTCTCTTTAAAATAATTTAATCATAAGTTTATATCATTTAAATTTTAGTGATGGTGGCTATGGGAATTTACAGGTTGATTCTTGTGAGCTGAAACAAAAATTTCTATCGTTGTGGTAAACCCTTCTCTACCCCAAGACTCTCAGTGTGACCTTGAAGTTAGTTTCCAGCTGAGGGTTTAATTTTCTCATCTGAAATATGCCCATACATTACTAAGTCACTGAAAGGCTAAAACATCTAAAAGCATGTCTCAAAAAGTGGTCATTCTCACTTCAGTGTTGTTAGGTCCATTTTCAGGGCCCCACAGCCCTTAGCACTGTGTTTTGATTTTGATAAGAGTGGAGTATACATTTTCAGAATGAATTAAGTTGCATAAATGACAAGCTTTGTTTTATTCCCGAATATCTCCTTATGGGCAGCTTCTGGAGTTAATAGCCAGAAAATACATAAATACATGTCACTAAGTCACTGGAGCAAGGGGGCTGCCCTCCTCCATCTGTCTGTCTGTCTGTCTGTCTAAGGGTAAACTGTCAGAGTCCACAGTAGCACAGAAGTGCAATCTGGAGGACCGGCTGCATTAAACTCTGTGGCTTTTGTTTATGGGAAATAGCACAATGTTCTCAGGAATGTTTGCTTTTTGTAACAGGTGGTGTTTTAATGTAAAGTGTGATTTACTCATGATTTACCGAGAAATGTCATGCCAGACTTTTTACCTTCAGATTGCCTACAGCCTTTATGTTCAGAGTGCCCTGTTTAAAAAGCTCCAGCATGCTTCATGGTGAGGCATCGGAACACAAACACTAAAAAAGGCTGTTCTTACAAAGTAGGTGCCCTTTGTCATTAGGCACTGACTCAGACTTGACACAGTACTGCTGTGCAGCAATGTTGCACCTTGGCAAGATTGGCTAGAAGTTTCCTCAGTAGGAGGCAGAGAGCCAGAAAGGAGTATTGGCCAAGGCCTTCTGAGGTGATACTGCATTTTGAAGCTTGCAGCTCTTCCTTGTTATACACCTAGTATGTTTGTATCCATTCTCTTTGTATAGTGCCTGTCTCCTTGCATCGTCAGTAATTGCATCCCTTCTCTAATTCCCCCAGTTCCTTTTCTAAGCATTCTTATGTCAGCCTAAAACAAGCCCATAATCTCCTTTATCCTGCACAATACACATCATTTCATTGGTCGATTTTATTGCTCTTCTTCCTTTTACCACTAAACTTTAAAGCACTTCTCCAAGCCAGGTGTAGTGTGCATGCCTGTAATCCCAGCTTTCTAGCAGGTTGACACAGAGTATCACCAAGTTTAAGCCCAGTCTGGGAAATTTACTGAGACCCTATCTTAAAATTTAAAAAAAAAAAAAAAAGTAAAAAGGGTTAGGAATATGTCTCAGCTCAAAGGCCTTGAGTTCAATTCTCAGTACCACCAAAAAGAAAAAGAAAAAAAGACTCATCCATACGCACTGCTTCTGCTTTTATCTTCCTGCTGTCCTTAACTGCAGAGTCAGCATTTTGGCGGTCACATCCATTGGACCTGGGCAGCCCAGCATCCACTGCCTTCCTGGCTCCTCCCTACCTGGGCAAGCTCCTCGCTCACCGGGGCCTCTGCATGAGCCACTTGCTCTGCCTGACCCTTCCTTTCTGTACTCCCTCACATTTTATGTGTGCTGTACCTCAGCTGTCACCAGCTGGCTGGTGACTTCTGTGTCCAGTTCTCATGATCCTTTCCACCTGTGACTGTACCTGTGTACATGAACCCCCAGGATGTGACGTGCTTCAGATAGAGCACAGCTGCCCGCCGCATCTTTCTTTTTCTTTCTCTTTTGAGGGGAGGGCTGCATTCCACCCATTCACTACTGACATAATTAGCTGCTTTCCCAGTCATCTTGGCATCCACATTTATTCAGGCTCATATCCAAGCAAACAGGAAGTCCTGGCCAACCCTCCCTCTTTCTGCCCCAGGGGTCACTTCCTGTGAAGCTCTCCAGAGTGTCCAACCCAATGACTCAGATGCAGTGCTCCATCTTAGAGACAGCTCACGGCTTGGGTTTGAAAGAGCTCCTCCAGCCCCTGAGCCAAACCCTTGCTTGTAAGCTGAGGGGGCTTGTACAAAGTAACTGGATCAGGAAGGCTGGGATGCTGAGATTGTAAATGAACGCCATTATCCCAGGGTGATGCAAACAGCAGGTAGGACCTAGTTGAAGGGAACGATCTCAGGTCAGGACCTTGAGGACTCTACCTGGTCTCTGGCCCCCTCCTCTCCTGCTCCCAGCCAGGCTCTTTCCCATAGTCTGCTTCCTGGTGGCCATAAGGTGAGCAGCCTTCCTCAGCCACACCTTCCACCACGGTGTTCTGTCGCAGCTCAGCCCCACAGCAATGGGGCCAGCCAACCACAGAACCTCCAAAACTGTGAACCAAAGTAGCCTTTCCACCTTTGAGTGGCTTTTCTCAGGTATTTTGTGAAACCAATGAAAAGTTGACCAACAAGAAGACTTTTCCTCTTCAACTTGTTAATGCCCATGTTTCTAAGCAAAATTCTGGTCCTATGAATCCTTACTCAGAAAGTTTCACTCCTCTACCATGGATGGAGAAAAGTACAGATGGCCAGCTGGGCATTCAAGTAATTTATAGTGTTGTTCCCACAACAGCCCCTCCCCAAACCCCAGGTCTGCCCTGGTGCCCTGCTCCTGCCCTGGACACTTGACCTCTTCTCCATCCACTTATACCCTGCTGCCTCATTTGCCAGCAAATTCACTCTTCTTTATCATTCTCCCTCAGTTTGTTGCAGAACGAGCTCAACCCCAGCTTTTCTGGGAACGTTTCCAAATCTCCCAGTTCTGCCTCCTCTTCCCTCCTTGGCTTCCTGGTGCTCCCTTGGCACTTTGAACCCAATCTCTCCCAGTCTTTTCTGAAGATGGTGTGTGTGTGTGTGTGTGTGTGTGTGTGTGTGTGCGTGCAGCCTGCTTGAGAACAGGGCTGTGTATCTTAATTACGTTTTTATCATGCACAGCACCACCAAAGTGCCTTTCAGGAGATGAGGCCCCAAGGAATTTGACCAAGAACCTCATTCAGCTGCCTCCCCTGTGACCCTCAGGTTCACTTGTCCCTGTCACACCCATGGCCAT